GATGCATCTGAGTCTCTGTGTATCCAAAGTTGACATCTAAAATATGAACATATGTTTACATAATGAAAAACAAGGAAGGTATAAAGGGCAATTTGTACACAATACTACCAGCAGAACTGAATAATTAACCATTTATCTGTGGTGACTAAATGCGCTCCATTTTATGTAAGTGGTCCTTCGTTCTTTTTCGTGTCTCTGATTGCATTAATATTTTGGTATAAAATTATCACAAGAAGGTTTATAGGAAAATGGATCGTTCTGTATTACTAGTACATGTGCTAAACATGTATTTATCACATACCAAAGTAAACTTAAAAGCTGATATTTTACAATACCCTGCTCATAAAATATTCCCAAAAATAAAACATGTTCAATAGAAGGACATAAGAATTAGTCAGATATTTCAATTCTTAACTATTAAATAACAAATAAAATTATATCTGCTTTTCTCCACAGTTCTAATTTGTTTACGTAATGAATGATATATATTGTAAAGGAAACATTGATTTATATTGTCACTAAATTTCAGCCATCTTGAATAAATATATTCTGAGGAACAAAATGTGGGGCATTACTTAATGAGCGACCCTCGTATATAGGTTGGATTACACAAAATATAAATGGATTTGTGAAATTAATGATCTGTGAAACTAAATATCAATTTTCTAATATCAACAAAACTTAAAATTTTCAACATTACCTAAATTTTCCATTCTCATACAATTGGTTGAGGGTCTGTTCAGCTTTCACACATGAAATCCCAAAACCTTGGCACAAGTCCAGCTTCTCAATACAGAATTCACACACTTGCTTTGGCAAGGGATCAGTTCTACTCACCTGTCAAAATACACAAAGTGCAAGACTATTAGTTCAAATTATGAGACTGAACTATCAAGTCTTTTTTAGAATATCATTCAAGGTAAACAGTCTGCGAGAATTAGATAAGCATTAGCACAACATCTACCTGAACATATCAAACAATGATGTTAACCAAGCATATCTTGTGAGCACTGTATGTGGTCTAGATCATGGAATTAGCTGTCAAAATGTTTCCTTTCCTTCAATTCTTAAAAGCAAATACTTCAATGAAACCATGGAACAAGTCTTGACCACTTCTTAGCAATTCTTATATCCAATGAGTTAAGCAT